ATCCAGGAAGAGTGCAAACGGTCATTGCAAAGACAGAAGAGGAAGAAAAGACCAAAATGGATGTCAGAAGAGACTCTGAAAATTGCACTGGAGCGCAAAGAAGCCAAAGCACAGGGAAGAATTCAAGATACTAAAGAAAAATCATATCTACACTTTGTTTTTTTTAATGATTGGTCAGTTCTGACACATAATCCAGAGCTCTGGTGGCCTAGTGGTAAAACGCTCCAGTGCAATCCCGAAGTCATGCAGTTTGAGGCCACCAGGTGCTCCATGGAGAAGGCTGGCAAGCTCATCTGTGCGATTAACTGCCTCTGAAAACCGGCTAGAGGGTCAGCTATGGGTCATTTCCGACTCTGCTATACAACAACATCATTACTAAAGGGAGCTCTGGAGCATAGTCCGCGGGAGTTGCACCGCTAACTAGTGCCGCTCTAGAGGTTCAGATCCACCAGTGGCTAGCAGGGAAAAAGATGAGCAATCTCCTCCTGTGCAGTTAGAGTCTCAGAAACCTGTTGGAGGGTAGCTGTGAGTGCGTGAATATTACCAAACTGTTTTTTTCTTTTTTGCATTATAGCATAAGAATTTAACCAAATTGTTAAAATCTGTGCAAACTTTATAAACTCTTCACAGAATTTTAAATAAAAAATACTTTTTATTACAGAAGTAGTGTATATTTAAGTTGTGATTTCATGTACATTTTTCCTCCCTCCCCCTTCTCCAGTTCACTTTGTAATGCATGTCCTGTTTCAGATTGTCATTTGTCATACATACAATGTCTAATCATCTGTTCTGTTCAGATTGTTCTTCCTTTCGCTTATTCCAGTGTTCATTATCTATCCATCTTTTTCCTGCTCTCTCCCTCATTTCATGTATTTATTCAGTATTGTATCTTGATAGCTTATAAGCAGTCTGAAGCCAAGGTAGAATTTCCTATTTGTTTTCTATTAGATCAGTCCTTTAAGTCTTGTAGTCGTTTTTCTGGGTTTTAAAAAGTTCCTTCTTTTTAAGTTTCGTCTTTCATCTCCATTCCTCCCTTTCTTATCTCGTCCTCACATCTTCTATACCGTCTCCAGCAGCCATTCACCTCAATCAGGGAAGCTCCTTCTTGGCTTATTGCAAAGTAGGGAAAAGTGGAATGAAATGTTCTGAACATACATTCCTCAAAATTCTTTATTTAGAAACCTGGCCACATCTGGAAAAAGCTCTTTTAAAGACTTGATTATTGGGTTTAAATGTGTCCTCTTGGTTTTAAAATTAATTGTATTTTGAAAAGTTTCCTCAGAAGGCAGTTGCCAAATAGGCCTTCTCTTGTGTTTAAATAGGTCTTCTGCGTAATTCTTCTCCTCTTCTAGTGTTTCTCTTTTTAAAATCTCATTGTCTTGGTTGTATTTTTCAGTCAAGTCCTAATTCGAAGCAGAGTCCTCAGGGAAAATGGAAAATACATTCCCAAACAGGTACTCATTTATCTTTTATTGAAATCACCACGTTCACTGTAGATACCTGAATGTTTTAAAAGGGGACTCTTTGGGGAAAACTGGATATTGGCAGTTTAGTAATTAAGTAGTGGCCTAGTAGTGTTCACTGTCATTGCGACCTCTCCCTCCTTGGGCAGTTGTTTGATTGTTTTTAAATGTGACTCAGCTAAAGTGTCAGGTCAGCCACCATGTAGGCTGCCAGCTCTCACTGTAACACCATACTCCAACGGCCTCTCGGGAAACCTCTGGGGAGCCCTTTGGCAATTTGCTGTTCCACTTCTAAGATCTTAAAAGATTTCTTTTTACTCTCTCCTAGTCTTTCTTGACACGAAAATATTACTTTAACAACCCTGAGGATGGATTTTTCAAAAAAACGAAAAGGAAGGTGGTGCCACCTTCTCCTATGACTGGTATGTTTACTCCTTTCTCATAATGTAGGTTGTTTTGTTGGGGATGGTTGGGGCGGGCGTGGACAGACAGATGTTATTTTATCTAAATGTTAAATTGTAGAAGATAGTAAGGGGCTTTAGAAATCATTTAGTACAGGGATTTATACAAGTGGAGCCCTCTTTTTAAGTAAATCTTCTGGGAGCCACATTATATACAGAGGATAAAAAAGGGAGCTCTGTGGCGAGGGGGTAGAAACCCAGGGCCTGGGTGTCCCCTCTGTTCTTCCTCAGGATGTGGAGCCCTGTAGCACACATAGAGAAACATGCCAGTCCCAGCTCCCACCCACTTCTGAGTCTTGTTCCTAATGGTGGCCACCTGACTTCCACTTGAATGGTGAGAACCTCACCCATCCCACAACCAGCAGTTTTGCTTGATCTAAGCACAATTTAAATTCCAATAAATTTCTTAGTTCCATCTATTCCAGTTATGTGGTAACAAAAACATCTTTAAAGAAAATTAGCATAGGTCATTATGCTGTGTGGGCTGTCTTTTCATTTTAGTGTTCATTTCTTTAGGTGAGATCATCAGCTATTTAAAACCCACACAGATGATACTGAAGTTAATTTTAGAAACCTGCAAGAAACAAGAGATCCACATGTGCATGAAAAATACTTAGCCTCACTAGTAATCTGTGGCATACAAGTTAAAGCTGGTCCTTGTTAGCCCATTAAATTTGAGAAATTGAAATGTATTATTTGATCCTGGGAGCTAGGTTCCTCCCTGTTGGAAGGAGTGCCAGAGAATTGTGCCTTTTTGAAGGACAGTCTGACAATACCCATAACCTTTAAAGACCCAAACCCTTTGACTCATCCCTGACAATAGTGCATACACATAGAGGTTTGTGTACAAAGTAGTTCTTGGCAGCCTTGCTTATTGGAAACAATCTGTAGCTTTTTCCAAAATGAATGGTGGAGTCCTTTACAACATTGACAAAAATGAGAGCTTGATACTATACCAGGGTAGAAATGCTGTCCATAATTGTTGCTGTTGTAATGTGCCGTCAAGTCACTTGCAACTCATAGCAACCCTATGTATAACAGCTCTGAAGCCTGCTCTGTCCTGAGCCAGTCTCACTGACTCCAACACACCTACCACCATTGCCGCAGTCACTGTATCAATCCATCATAATATATTACTAAAACTTCAGAAGCAGAATAATAAGTTTAGTACCCATTATACTGTGTAATATATATTTTAAAAAAATCAAGAACATGCAATAAATAGTTGAAAATGTATCTAGAAGTTGGCCCAGTTATACTATATACAACATTGTTAATGTTTTCTGAAATTTTCACAGTGAATTTATATCACCTTAATGATCAAATGAATTAAACTTTTAAGAAAATTGGGGACAAGTTCCTTGCCAATTGAGGTAAATGAGGTAAACTTGAAAGGTTTTTTGTGGGTTTTCTTAAATTGTTAAGTTTTTTTAAATAAAATTTTTAGTTTATACTGGTTTACTTCCAAAGTTTGTGTCCATTGTTTTTCACACCAGGTTTCTTGTGGTTTTTTTTATTAGATCCCACTATGCTCACAGACATGATGAAAGGGAATGTAACAAATGTCCTCCCTATGATTCTAATTGGTGGATGGATCAACATGACATTTTCAGGCTTTGTCACAAGTAAGTGCAGACTGAGTAAAACTCCTCCTTGCTTCACCCACCCTTCCCTGTGTCCCTCCAAAGAAACCTGGATCTCACAGAGATAATGGCATGGTCCTGTGTGCTGGCAGGGAAACAGACCATTCTGTGAATAACAAAAAAAAAACCAAAACAAACCATCTAATAATGTTGTAGTTCTACTCCCAGATTGTTGATATAGTGTGTTGTGCTGCTAACTGTAAAAGGTCAGTGGGTTCAAATCCTCCAACTGTCTCACAGGAGAATGATGTTGGCAAAAGTGGATATGCAGAAAATTGAAGCAAGACCTATACATGATACCGTGTTAAAAACTAACTTAAAATGGGTCAGGGATATAGTCATGAAACCTAAAACTATAAATACATCAAAAAAAAAACTTGGGTTAAACTAGGTACCCTTTTCAGAGGTGTAAATAGACCATCATCTGTAGCTGATGCACTGATGTAGGATAAGCCTTCTCCTAAGTAGTAAATCCTTCAGTTCATCAAAGGATTTCTCCAAAAGAGTGAGAACCTTCAAACTTGGGAGAGAATATTTGGCAATAACATCTAAAATTTATAGAAAACTTCAATTCAACAAGAAAAAGACAACCCCATTGCAAAATGGGCAGAAGACCGTTCACAAAAGAAGACATTCAGATGACCAATGAAACACATTAAGAGATACTCAAGATCTTTAGCTGTTATTGTTGTTAGGTACTGTTGAGTCGAATATAACTCCTAGCAACATGTCCAAAGTATAAGAGATGAAGCCTCACCATCTTTGCCTCTAAAGAGCACTCTAGCTGCACTTTATCTATTGTTATGTACCATCAAGTTCCCTATGACTCATAGTGACCTTACATACCCTATGTAGACCCTGCCCTCTCCTGAGCCAATTTCACTGTCTCCAACACACCTATCCCCATCAGCCCAGTCACTGAGTCAATCCATCACATCCAGAGTCTTCCTTTCTTGCACTCTCCTGCAACACTTCCAAGCCTGATGGCCCTCTCTAAGGACTGGTCCATCCTAGCAACATGCCCAGGTATGTGAGACGGAGCTTCAAAATTCTTGCCTCCAAGGAGCAGCTTAGTTTTACTCTTTTCAAGACAGATTTTTTTCTTTTAGCAGTTCCATGATATGTTCCGTACGCTTCTAAAGCACCACAATTCAAAAGCATCAATTCTGTCATCTTTGGTCATTGTCCAGCTCTCTGATGGATAGCAAGTAATTGTGAAGAACATGGCCTGGATCAAGTGGACCTTAGTCTTTAGATTGATGGTTGTTGCTCTTCAGTACTATAGAGGTCCCTGACAGCAGATTTCCCCAGTGCAATTTGTGTTTTGATTTTCTGATTGCTGGTGCCATCAGTGTTGATTGTGAAACCAAGCAAGCTGAATTTGTTAATAATCTCACTCTCTTCTCCATCTATCATGATGCTGCCAATTGGCCCAGTAGTGAGAATCTTAGAGAGCTGCAAATCAAATTGGTGAAATATAGGAAAGTTCAGTAGACAGCAAACAACAGATGCTGGCAAGGGTGTAGAGAAATTAGAACTTGGAGTGTAAAATGGTGAGCTTCTGGGGAAGATAGTTTTGTGCTTACTTAGAAAGTAGGGAATAGAAACACCATTTGATCCAACAATACCACCACTAGCTATATATCCCAAAGCAGTAAGAGCTGTAACACAAAGTCTTTTAATAACACCCATATTTATTGTGGGATTATTTATAATAGCAAAGAGTTAGAAACAATGCAAGTATCCATGAGTAGATGAATGAGTAAAGAATTACTAAAAAAATGACAATTTGTAAACTATTACACAGCTTAGATGAATCTAGAACAAATTATGTGAGTGGCCTTAGTCTTTCATAAAAGGGGACATATGGTCCAAGACCATGAATATGAAAAGCTAAGGGAAGGTTCACCCACACACAGAGTCATTGTTGGATGGTTACTAGGAATAAGAAAGGAGTAAAATGAATTAAGAGACAAGTTAGGTGAAGGGGAAGCAATATATGAGGAAGAGTTGATAAAACATTTAATTAACATTTAGTTGCAATTATTGTTAAAAAAGAAAATGTGTGAATAAATAACAAAATAGAACAGCTAGTTGTATCCAATGAAATGCTTAGTTTAGTGGCTGTATTTTTTTAATTAGTTTATTTACAAAATTTGAATACATTATTTCTCACACAAGTTCCTTCCTATAGTGGCTTTTTTTTTTAACCAAAAGAACACATTTTCCTACATTTCCTTTTCAAAACAATTTTTCCCAAAAGTTGTGTGGTGCTGAGTTCCCACCTTCTTGGGCAAAGAATAAGTAAATTCACATTTAAACTATTTTAAAAGCAGAAATGCTAAGAGTGGAAAGAAAGACTTACAGGGTGTTTACCTCTTAAGTATGACTTTGTATACCATCCCAGGAGGTTTTTGTAATAGAAGCTCATAGTAAAAAGTTTTTGGGGAGAAATAACCAAAAAAAAAGGAAAGAAGAACTAGAGAGCGCTGCTTGTCCCTTGAACCTGAGATCCTGAATAAAACAGAGGCAGAAAACTATAACTAGAGAAACCGTGCCCAGGTGAACAGCCGAGCGCCTTCAGGTAGAACAGTTGCTCTCAAGTGGATCCTTCCAGCTTTGTCAGTTTCGTGACCCGTGGAGCCTGAGTCTAGCGCCTTTGGGCCTCGACCTACTGACAGAAGTAGAGAGGGTCACAGAACTACAGGAGAGGCCAAGGCTGCAGGGCAAGGGGGGTCAGAAGCTGACTGAAAGGGCGCCTGAGAAGAGGTTGTGCTACCTGTATTCTGAATGAGCTAAAACTTAGCACTTAGGTCTTATTTACTGTTATTCTTTACAGCAGAGTAATAAAATCTGAATTTCTTAGGATTTTAGTTTATGGAATTGGTGGTATACTGAGTGTTCCCAAACCTAAATTACAACCTGTCACTTCCCTAATAAATTCCTTCATTGTTGGGAGGGGAGAAGGTAGGAATGGTTATGAACTTCTTCTTTCTTCTCTTCAGCCAAGGTTCCATTTCCACTGACTCTCCGTTTTAAGCCTATGCTCCAGCAAGGAATTGAACTGCTCACATTAGATGCATCCTGGTAAGAGCTTTCTTTTAGTTAATAAAAATGCAACTCAGAGTGGAAATCTTGACTCTCAGAACTGGATTTCCAGTTTTCTTACTTGATTTGAAAGAAATTTTTAAAGATTTAGGGGGAACCCTCTACCTCAAAATTGAAATAACATTCAAAATGCCACAGATGGATTATGGCCACTTTTACATGAATCAGTAGTTTTGCAAAAAGAAAATGAATCACCATCTTGGGGCTTAAGAGTACTCAAACAGATGTGTCAATTCAAAGTTAAAAAAAATAAAGCAGGAGACTCTGACCAGACGGATCTTTTAGCAATGCTCTGCTATTTATTTTTGTATGTTGCTAATAATAACATTTCTTTTCACTGGCACTAGTCACTGTGCTAGATGTCTTCTATGTATTTCCTCCCCCCGCCTATATATTTCCATACTTTATTTCATTTTATCCTCTTAGGTATTCTGAATTGGGTGGGAAAATGAGATTTTAGCACTTAGACTATTCAAACCCAGTTCTTATTTACCTTTCTATTCTTAGAGACACATAATAAAACCTAGAACCTAAAATGCTGTTAAGGTCTTAGTATATGGAATCCAGTGGTGCTTTTTTCACTTGGTCTCCAAACCAAGGCATCCTAAAGCCTACCTGGAAAAAGAAGCCAAACAAGAATAGTTGGAAGACTCTTCTTGGGAACACTAGTTCACTAGTTCCTCTTTCCTCACCTCCTGGTTCAAGGTGAACCTAATTATAGGAGGAGAGACCAGGCCACATGCTGGAGAGTTGTGGCCAGGCGTCATTCCACTAAAGAGAAGAGCTGCACTGTATGCAAATAGCACCCCTCTACCTTTCAGCTCTTTTGGTAGAATGAGCAGTCTGTAAGCTAAAGAAAATGTTGTTATTTCCCAGCATTTAATGAACACTCAGCTTAAGTTAGCTTATATTAGATTGTTGTTGTTTTGTACTGTCAAGTAGAACCAACTCAATAATGACCTTCCAGTGCGTTTCTAAGGCATAACTCACAGAGTCTCTAAGGACATTGGCCATCCTTCTCTTGCAGAGTAGCTGTTGGATTTGAACTGCCTGCTTTTGGGTTGGCAGTGCAACTCCTTACCCACCAGGACACCAGAGCTCTCATATATGTAGATGAGCAACAACATGTATCAATTGGTCATTTACTTATCTGTGGCCTGCCTGACATGGTAACCAGAATATTTTGTTATTGTATGGTCCCAACTATTACAGTGACGCTGAGTTCTTTTCATTCATGAATCATTGCTCAGATTCCCTTTTAATTGTTATTATGTGCACAGATTTTATGGAGGCAGAGTGGGAAACAAAGGGTAAAGTTCAAAACTTGAAATGACTTTCCTAGAGTCACAATGTTGAAAGTATTTTCTGATCTGAAAACTACCACTAATCATTCTGTGTAGGTATAGAACACACGTGTACCTCAAAAATGTTTTTCTTTAAAGAGTGGAGTTCAGGATGGGAAATTATTTTTTATACTATGTACTTCTATAACTATTTGAAAACTATATAGAAAGAAAAATTTTAAAAGATACAAGAAAACCAGTGAATGTGGAAGAACTTATTACATAGCCACACATAGCAGTTTGCCAAGAGATCCAATTATTTGTCAGGCAGCCTTTGTGTGTCTGCTCTGGTTATATTTGGGTACATGTAGGCTACCCTAAGAGATGTCTTAATATGTGCTAGATAATTTAGGAGAGTACAAAAATGTGACCTATGGTAATTTCTGAAATTACTCACACTGTTTTGACTTTGGTTTTGTTAGGGTGAGTTCTGCATCCTGGTACTTTCTTAATGTGTTTGGGCTTCGGAGCATTTACTCTCTGATTTTGGGCCAAGATAATGGTAAGAATTGTGTCAAACTTAATAAGCAAATACCACCTCCTGTGCCATCAATGAATCATTCATGCCACCAGGACCAGAAAATCATTTGGGTGAACTGCACAGTCACATGTTATGCTTTGTTCCTTATACATGTTGTTAGGTTTCCGAGATGTTCTGGAAGAATCTTAATTTCAGAGGTCAGTTTTAAGGCTTTAATTTTCCCTGGCAAACTGGGAAAATACTCACTTCCCCAAACTATGATTCACTCTTGTGAATGAATGGCAGTCAGGGGCCTAAAACTGGAAGAAGCTGGGGCTTGAATAGTGAGTTCGTGGACTAGATGGGGAAATCTAACTCATGATGCAGAATGGAAGAAAAAAGGAGCTAAAATGGAATAAAATAAGGGAACAAAAGGAATTTAGGCCACAGTTCCTGTCATACCAATCTGTTAACACTTAATGACAGTGTATTTAGAAAAGTAACTAGTCACTAAGCTTCCATTTGCTTATCTGTGAAATACTTAATAGATAACTGGTAGAGCTGCTGTTAGAAACCCCCGAGGTAGAATATGTAAAAAACTTAGTATAATAGTTGCTCAGTAATCACTTACTTTTGTCGTGGAGGAATTCTCATGGCTTAGTGTGCTGTATATTGTAATACTTCTAACCGAAAGGTTAGCAGTTGAAATCTCCTAGCTATTCCTCAGAAGATGGGAAGTCTCCTTTGCTTTGGAAACTGAAGACCTATGTTGCTTATGTCAGAATCAACTCAATAGAAGCAAGTTGGGATTGGTTTTGATTGTTATTTTGACTTAAAACTGAAATAATATGTAGAGCTCCCTTTCATTATTAGCTCCTCAGCTATTGTTATCTGCATTGTTCAGGAAAAGTAAAGCAACTTTCCTAGAGTTACATAGCTGGTGAGTGACAGCCAGTCAGCAGACCTGCTGTGCAGTTCTCCAACCCACCACTGAGGCCTTGTAGTGTCTCTAGGGACCATTTTCTTTAAGCATACTTGAGTACTTGCTGAGCACTAACACACATGTGTGCATTGTACTGCAGCTGCTGACCAGTCGCGGATGATGCAGGAGCAGATGACTGGGGCAGCCTTGGCCATGCCTGCGGACACCAACAAGGCTTTCAAGGTGCGTTGGCTCATCTAAAGCCTGTGTGCAGGCTCTGAGAGTGCCCGGAGTGACTTTGAAACGGATGCTTGGGAGGCAGGGTTTTGTGCCTTCCTATCATGTGGATTTAAAAAATTTGCAAACATGAATTTTTGTTTACATTTTTCTTCTTCCCATGGTAGGGAAGCTCTATTAACGAAGCTGTCTATTCTTGGTACCATTTTGGGTATCTAAATGCTCATTCAGGGAGCTCTCGTGGCTAGTGGTAAAAAGCTGTGTTGCAGTCCCAAAGGTACATGTTTGAAGGCAGCTGCTTTGCAGGAGAAAGATGGACATTCTCCTGTGCAACTGTCTCTGAAAATCCACAGGGTCACCTGGGGGTTTCTTCCAGCTTGACAGCACACAATAACAACAAATGATCACCTAGATTTCATCTACTCCATAAATGACGCTGTAAAAATAGTTTAGTCAGCAACATGACAGAAGCATTTGCAGTATGTATAATATTTTTAACTCTATACATCAGATATGAACTGCATTTTAATCAAGACTTAGAGCCTTTTTAGGAAATCTACCTGGAATTGGGATTTGTAAAAGGCATTATAACTTTCTGTAAAGCAAAATCCTATTTCTATTTTCTTGATGAAAATACCCCACAAACTACAACTAGAATTTCCTCCTCTGATAGAGGGCATCTGTGAAAAACCTATTTCTACCAAAGACCACAGCCTTCAGTGTGGATTACAGCTCAATATCAGACAATAAAATTCCTCAGCACTGGGCCAACAGGGAACATCATAATAATTGGGAGAAAAGATTGAAGTTGTCAAGGATTTAATTTTACTTGGGTCCATAATCAGCAGCTATAGAAATGACAGTCAGCAAATCAAATGAAGACCAACTTGTACCTGGCCCAACCCATGGTATTTTCAGTTGCTTTATAAGCATTTGAAAGTTGGAAAATTAATAAAGAAGACCAAAAAAAATTGGTATCTTTTAATTGCTTTGGTGACGAATACTGAATATGCTGTGGACTGCCAAAAGAATTAGCAAATATGTGTTGGAGAAAGTACAACCAGAATGCTCCTTGAAAGCAAGAATGGTGGGACAATGACGTGCACCTTTTGGGCGTATTGTCAGGAGGGGCCAGTCCTTGGAAAAGTGGGGAGTCAGTGAAGGAGAGGAAGTCCATGGGTAACACAGTGACTGTAATACTGGATTATTATTTGCTGTAATACACAGCAAAGATTGTGGGGTGGCACAGAATTGAACAGGATTTTGCTCTATTGTTCATAGGATCTCCACGATTCAGAGTGGACTTAGTAGGACCTAACAACAACAACAAAAAATTAAAAGTAGTACCAAGAATGTCTGGTTCACATAATAGATGGTTCTGTCACTGACAATACTAGACATTGTTGAAAGAGATTAAAAATCTAAATAAAGGAAAAGATGTCTTGGTTTGGAAAAGTTAACATTATTAAGATGCGAAAGTCTCCAAACTTATCTATATATTCAGTACAACTGCAATCAAAATTCCTGTTTCCTCATAATAAATAAATCTTAAAGAACAGCCAAAACAGTTTTGAAAAAGAACAAAGTAGGAGTTACCAGTTTTAAAACTTACAAAGGTACAATTCTCAACACTGTCTAGAATTGGCATAAGGAGATACAAACACACACACACATATCACTGGAAATAGTAAAGAGACTCTCTAAATGAACCCAATAAATTTCTCACTATTTTTAATAAATATGCCAAGGCAATTGAGTAGGAACAAACTCTTTCAACCATTGGTGGTAGGACCAACAGATTTCTACCTGGAAAAGCCTCATCATTTATAAAGTTATATTGGTCAAAGACCTAACTAAAAGCTGAAATGGTAAACTCTTAGAATAACATCCTAAATGTCCATGAACAGATGAATGGATAAACAAAATGTGTACATACTTACAATGGACTATTACACAGTCATTGGAGAAATGAAGTCTTAAGACATGCTACAGTGTGGATGGAGCTTGAAAGCATGCTGAATCAAACGTGCTGGTCACAAAAGAACACATATTCCCTCACTTATGTAAAAAATAAAAGGCAAATCTTCTATAGAAATTGTAGAGGCAGGCAAGAGGGGGAAAGAGAAAGTACCTTTTTGATGGAAAGGTAAAATAGTCCAGCCATAGTAACAGTATAGCGATCGTACAGTTTTTAGCTGTTTCTTAAAAATTCAACATAGATTTACTGTATGACCCAGCAATTCCACTCCTAGAAACACGTTATTGTTATGTGTTGTCCACTTGGCTCCTACTCAGAGCTGACCCCTTCAGTAGGTTTTCAGAGAATGTTAATTACATAGGAGGAGATTGCCCTTTCTCCTGAGGAGCAGCTGGTGGATTCTAACCACATGCCTTTGGGTTAGCAGTGCAACTCCTTACCACTAAACCCTCCTAGAGATAGATCCAAGGAAACATAAAACCACAGAAAACAGGTAAGTCTTCTTAAGCACTATTCGTAATAATTAAAAGATGGAAATAACCCAAAATAGATGTCCATCAGTATATGAATAGATAAACAAAATATAATGTTTTAATAAGTACTGATAAGATGTTACATGGTAAGTTTTAAAACCTATTCAAGAAACCAGTCACTAAAACGACGTATTAATTCTCTTTATAGGTTATGTCTATAAAAAGCAAATCTGTAGAGATAGAAAGTGACATAGTAGCTGGCAGGAGCTAAGGTAGGAAGAATGGGAGCGTTTGTTATTAGGTATAGGGTTTCTTTTATGTGGTAGTGAAAGTGTTCTGAAATTAGATGATAATGTAACTTCAGCATTTGTTACTGTCAGATCTGTGTCATTTGTCATGTGCAAAATGATTGGATAGTACATTTTTCACTATCAAAAACATGAAAAGTCACTTAGCAAGATAGTCAATAAGTCAAGAGAAGGTGTATTCTAAAACCACCCCGTAGTGCATGATATAAAATTCTTCTAGTGATAAAATCTAGACTGTCAAATTACTGGCCTCGCGAGCTCTGGTGGCCTAGTGGCAAGAAGCTGCACTGCAATCACAGAGGTGTGCGGTTCAAATCCACCAGATGCTTTGCTGGAGAAGGAGGAACCATCTCCTCCTGTACCAGTCAAATCTGATTTGATGGTACACACACACACACACACAAATAATAAAAATAAAATAAATGTTAAAAAAAAATTACTGGCCTCTGACACACTGTACTGAAATACCATTGTACATTTAAGCATAAAGTAGGAGTGAAGGTTCTTAAATCCTTTGAAGAAATGCCTGACCATTTATGTCAAAGTGTGCTTGACCCAGATCCTGAATCTGTTGATGAGAGGGCTCAGGATGGCAAAGCACTAATTTGTCTCTTACACATCCTTCAAGGGTGGTTGCTACCTGTGTTCCTAGCACCTAATCTAGTGCTGTGGGGAACTCTTCTGGAATAGCCCACAGAGAGTTGCAGCTAACCCAAGGAGGCCGTACTTGATGATTCTAGCCCATCAGTGGTTCTGTGGAAGAATAGCAGGCGATTTCCTTCACAGCCTGAAAACCTGCTGGAGGGTCAGCTGATTGCACAGCAGTGCTGTCAGGTACTCCTGACAGCAACCCTGTGATCAATAGATCTGAGCCCTGTCCTGTCCTGTCCTGTGTCAGCCTCAGTGTCTCTGCTGTGTTCAAGCCTGTTGTTACAGTCACTGTGTCATTCATTCCATCTTATTGGGAGTCTGGTGCAGGGACAGAACAGCATATTCATAGCATGCTGTGTAACTTAAACACTAAATCAGAAAGCCTAAATGTAAATATCTCTTCTACTAACTCACTGACTTCGATCTCTCTTGGCTTTAATCTCCTTACCTGTAAATTGTTTGAGAGGAGGAGACAGCTGTAGCCTCTCAGATTAAATGACTTGATACATGTAAAGAGTTTAGTCTAGCTCCTGGGCCAGAGTAGGTGCTTACCAAAAGTCAGTTATATTGTGAGTAATAAGTACTGTCCCCGGCCCTGGCCTCTTTTTTTGCAGACAGAGTGGGAAGCTTTGGAGCTGACGGATCACCAGTGGGCACTTGATGATGTGGAAGAAGAGCTTATGGCCAAAGACCTCCATTTTGAAGGCATGTTCAAGAAGGAGTTACAGACCTCTATTTTCTGAAGAGCAGGCAGAGATTGCTGTGTCAGGAACTTAACCTTGTTACTTTAGTTTGAGCTGGAGCCTCAGAATAAAAAGGAGGGTACATGAGCTGGCAGGTGTGTGGCAGGGACCGTTTTTGTCTGAGCCAGTTTCCTCTTTGTGTTTGAAGCCAGGGGAGGTGAGGAGGTACTAATGGCTTACAGGGAGAGTGCTTTTTGTAAAATGTATTCCAGGTTCCTTCTCGTGACTCTAGTCATGAAAATCAGGAAAAGAGGGAAAACTCAAGCCAGTGATAATACAATATAAAAAAACAAAAAACAACAACCCACATTAAATTTTAATGCAGCATTTAATAAAGAATACTTCATCTTCCTTTTCCAGAAAACCTAAAAACTTATTAAAAAGTCAGTCTTTGAAAAAAATCATTAGTTAGAAATAATTCTGTGTAGTAAAACTATCTTCTAGCCACAAGAAACTCCTGTTTTCTTGGGATCCAAACACCCTGCATTTTCATTTGTAATTTTTATGTTAGTGTTTTTATAACCTCCTTTACAGAAGTAGTGCATTTTTATTACCAAAACTTAGAAACTGTGGAATAGCAAAATACATCTCCCTGTATTGTTCATCTTGAGCCTAAAGAGTGACATAGAACAAACATGTCAAACTTTATTCAAATAAACTTTTCCGTATGAAAACCCAGGGCCAGGACATACTTAGCAAACCTTCTGTATCTCTTGCTACTGTCCAATAAAATCTGGTGGCCCTCAGACACTGCCAGCTTCTTAAGTGCCTTTGGGATCATCACAGACAGAGCAAGTAGCCTGAGGTATTGATCAAGAGGTTGGAATACATCAGATCAATGGTTCAGTACTACCCTGATAAACTGAATACTTCATTTCCCAGTTTCGGATTGGAGGATCTACATACCATTGTGAAAATGGAGAGAGAGCAGTTATTGACAGGCAGATAAGATTTGCTTAGGAGTGAGTATAGATTAATTGTCCCAGGATGTGGCAAGTTGAATGTAACTTGCATGCTTGAGCTCTGTAATCAAGAACAAGTGACTCTAATAATTAAACCATCCTCTCTTCTCTTCTTTACCTGTCAAAGTGTTGTTTCTGTGGATATTTAACAGTTTTCTGCCAACATTAAAATTGTATAGGAGAGACAAAGATGAAAGAGATTTGATCCCACCCTTGAAGAGCTCAAAGAATTCACATTAAAAATTAGTAGTTCTTCAACTTTGTTGATCATGGCACCTCTTTGAGAATCCCTCCAGAATAACCTACATGGGTACAAGTATATGGATTCTCAAGGTTATCCTAAGGATAACTTGCCTTCCTGTATCTGTTCATAAAGACCAAGCTAAGAAACTGTAGCCTTTAAAGACAGAGTGACTGCTTCAACAAAATAGCGTATCAGAAGGATCCCTAAGCAGGAAATGACAGAGTAAAGAAAAGTTCCAGAGGGGTTACTTATCTTTGACCTGTGCTGTGAAAGGATTCTGCAGTGTAGAAGGACATTTCAAGGAGAGGAGTTAAAAGGTCCTCAGTTTACCTGGAGCAAATAAGGTGTATATTAGGAAGAACTAGTGTGAAAAAGAGCAAGGTCTACAGGGGATGACTATATCAGAACTCCACAAGAGGGAACTGTCCCCATGAAAAACATCCACAACACAAAGCCCATTCCAGTGAGATCAGACATGTCCCCGAATCTGCCACACCTCTTCTCATCCAGACACCAATTACTGCTCTATGATAACTCACAGACCACACAGAACCATATAATTCTGGGTAATAGAATACAATCAGGACAGCTGCTGAAATGTGCTCCAGGCCTTGAACCTGTTGGCTTTAGACAAGTGTTACAAAGCCTTATTCCTACCAGTTATGCGTCCTTCCCCCTCAACCCTCCAGTCTTCCAACAGACTTGGGCAAAAAAGGCTCTTAACTCTGGTTGGATGTTGGAGCAGTCCAGGAACCTCTCTGTCTCATGCCAGGTCTCTGGTTCTCTGCTGTGGTTGCTGCTCCCGTAGGCCCTGCCTCCCCTGGCTGGTGCAGGAATCTCTAACCTTGAAGGATGTGCTACATTTTCTTGCTGCTTCTTTACTGGTGGTGAGAGTCTCAAATTTGGCTGCTAGATTCGCTCAATGGTGAGACTGACCAGGGCGCTTGTGAGTAGGCTAACATGCCCTACTACTGTATACCCACCATTTATATGGCCAAGGCAATGGCTTGGGAAACCATTTTGAACAATAAGCCACAACCAAGTTGGGCACAATTGTGAACAATCTCATTACTCTACAAGACATCCTCAGAGCCTTTCAGCCAGTCCTTTACTCACGCGGTGTTGGGCCATTGCTAAGGTTACATAGTTAAAATGTATGTCAGGGGTTTCTGGTCATTAGTTTCAAGCACATATGGCTTTAGCATTAACCAGTCAAAGGGAAAGCCAAGTTTGTTTTAGCAGGCCTTGTCCAGAATCAGGCACAGGTGGTACTTACTGTGTTTGTCCCTTGGGATTCAGTTTGGGCCAAGCTACTAAAAATTAGCGTTTCACTTTTTCCATCACCTTGGACTTACCACCTGAAACGATATAGAATCAGAAATTCTGTTTATTGTTCATAGTAGGAAAAATACCATACTAGAAAAGCTAGATACTGACAGTCAACTGCACAACACAGCTTTGAGAGAAAAATGATGATGACTTAGATATGAGGATAGTAGCTAAAACTTATTATCAACTGTCAGCATGGTTTCTCTGGTCTATAAAGAATGTGATGACCATTGTTGCTGTTAGGTATTGTCAAGTTGACGACTGCTCATAGCTACCCTATTAACAACAGATAAGAGACTTGTCTGTCATGTCCTGAGCCATTGTTAGAGTCTGCCACACTCAAGCCTATTGTTGCAGTCACTGTCTGTCCATCTTGTTTAGAGTCTTCCTCTCAATTTACTTACCCTCCATTTTATTTACTGTAGCACCGACAGCAGTATTGATGAGCATTGTTATGTGCTGTCAAGTCGCCTATGACTCACAGTGACCCTATGTACAACATAGGGTCTATCTTGAGCCAATCTTACTGTCTCTAACACACTTACCCCCAATATCCCAGTCACTGAATCAAGCCATCTCACTGAGGGTCTTCCTCTCTTACACTGTCTCTCTTTCCTTCCAAGAATGATGTTCCTTCTCCAAGTACTGGTTCTTCCTAACAACATGCTCAGAGTATGTGAGACGGAGCTTCAAAACACTTGCGTCCCAGGAGCAGCTCAGTTTCACCCTCTCCAGGACAGACCAGTTTGTTTTCTTAACAGTCCATAGTTTGTTCAAAATTCTTCTCCAGTACTACAACTCAAATGATCAGTTCTTCTATCATCCTTAGTCATTGTCCAGCTTTCTGATGCATAACAAGTAATTGTGAAGACCATGACTTGGATCAGGTGCACCTTAGTCTCCAGACTAACATTTTGTACTTCATTACTCCGGAGAGGTCCTGATAGCAGATTTTCCCAGTGCAATTAATCTTTTGATTTCCTGATTGCTGGTGCCAGAAGTTTTGACTGGAACCAAACAAGCTGAAATTGTTAGTCTCTTCTCCATTTAATATGATACTGCCAGTTGGCCCAGAGGTGAAAATTCTTATTTTCTTGATGTTGAACTTCAGTCCATATTGAAGACTGCAGTCATTGACCTTCTATAGCAAACCCCTCATGTCCCTCAGTTTGAGTGAACAAGGTTGTGTCACCTGCATAGGTTGTTGATGAGTCTTCCTCCAATCTTGATGCCACATTCCACTTCATAGAGCCCAGCTTCCAGGATGATCTGTTCTGCATATAGATTGAAAAGGTATGGAGATAGAATATGTCCCTGGTGAACACCCTTCCCGATATTGAACCATGCAGTGTTTCCTTGCTCTGGTCTCACAACTGCCTCCTAATCCAAGTATAGGTTTCACATAAGCACAATCAAGTGTTCTGAGATTCTCATTCTTCTCAGAGTTATCCACACAGTCAAATTCCTCTGCATACCACAAACGAATGGATTGAGAAATTATGGTACATTCACACAGTGGGAATACTATGCAGCACACAGGAGCAATGATTTTGTAAATTATTACCTATCTTGGGAGGGCCTGGAGAGCATTATGCTGAGTGAACTAACTCAGTCCCACAAGGATAAATATTGTATAAAACCATTATTGTAGAATGAGTATAAGGATCCAAGAGGGGTGAGAGAGGTTGGAAGCAGAGGGATGTGGATATGCAGGGGGAGGCGGGATTAATCAAAGTTGTACAATTTGATGGGTGAGGAGGTGAGGGAAATTGAAAGAATTTGTATTTGACTTTTGTAGATAAATCAATAGGGAAAAAAATTGCTTTTGCCTAGTCAGTGGAACACAGACATTCCTCTGCTACTCTCTCCCTTCAGCCAAGATCCATCTAAACATTAGCTATAATATCCCTAGTGCCACGGCCTCTCCTAAATCCAGCCTGCACATCTGGCAGTTCTCTATTGATGTGCTGTTCCAGTCATTTTTGGATCATTTTCAGCAGAATCTTGCTTTTATGTGATATTAATGATACTGTTTGATCATTTCCGCACTCTGTCAGGTCACCAGAATGGGAACAAATATGGATCCCTTCCAGTCAGTTGCCCAAATGGTTTTCCTCCACATTTCTTGGCACAACTTGGTGAGCACATTCAGGGCAGCATCTGTTTGTTGAAATAGGTCAATTGGTATCCCATCATTTCCTGGGGCCTTGTGTTTTGCCAATTGCTTTAGAGTAGCTTGAACTTCCTCCTTCATCATTGCCTCTTGATTAATTTCTTGAAGCTAAAAATAATGGAGTCAGGGGGTATAAATTGTCTCAGTGGCACTATTCAGGCCCAGCTGGATACAGGGCCTCAAATGAGGATTGATTTCTTTCTCAAGTCTACATCCTATTCTCTATCTTCTCATGAAGATAACAACTTAATGAATAGAAAATACTTTTAAAAAAAAAAAAAAACCACCACCATTTTCAGAAAAGTCTTGTTCACTTAAAGTGAGCTGGTTTGGGCTTCGTGTAAACCACATCAATTATTTCGCTTCTCTCAACTACTGGGACAGACAG